GGTTGGTTTGTGTTGGGTTAGGTTTGGGTTGGGGTTGGGTTTGGGTTGGGTTGGGTTTGGTTTGGGTTGGGTTTGTGTTGGGTTGGGTTTGGGTTGGGTTTGGGTTGGGGTTTGGGTTTGGGTTGGGTTGGGTTTGGGTTGGGTTTGGTTTGGGTTGGGTTTGTGTTGGGTTGGGTTTGGGTTGGGTTTGGGTTGGGGTTTGGGTTTGTGTTGGGTTGGGTTTGGGTTTGGTTTAGGTTTGCTTGATTTGAGTTTGGGTTGTGTTGGGTGGAGGTGGGAGCTTTGATCTGCCCCAATCTTCTGAAATCCAGTGTATTGCCCTTTTTTTAAAAAATGTGCTCATGAGATGTGGGCATCACTAGCTGAGCCACCATTTATTACCCATCTTTAATTGCCTCTTAGAGGGCATTTAAGAGTCAACCACATTGCTGTGGGTCTGGAGTCACATGTAGGCCCAGACCAGATAAGGATGGCAGTTTCCTTCCCTAAAGGACATTAGTGAACCCGATCAGTTTTTACAACACACAACAGTGGTCAGACATGTTTGCCATTAGATTAGCACTTCTCACTCTCGATTTTTTATTGATTTTAAATTTTAGCTCCTGCCACAGTGGGATTCAAACCCATGTCCTCAGAACATGATATTGCCACTATGACATAGCCTTCCCATCTCACAACTATCCCCGTCCCCCACACCCACTGCAATCTCAATCCCCCGAGAGCCTGGCACTTGCTCCTGTACCTTGGAGTTGTTCCACATTCCACTGCCTGGATCTTGGGGGTGGGAAGGTGCAGTGCTGTTGCTCTCTGTTAGCTGTGGGCCTCTGATTGGCTGGCATCTTCAATGGCAGAGGGGAGGGAGGGCATCACTGTCTCAGAAATTGATGGGCTGAAGCACCTGTAGGATGTTCTCGTTGTGGGGTGTGTCCTGTTTGTTATGCTCATCCCTACAATTCATCCTGAAATTGGAAAATCCCAGGCCCAGTTCCTGTACAGCAGCATTAAACAGGGAGTGGCAAATAATGATATTAAGGTGAAACTGGGTTGGCATATTTTAATAACAGTCTTGTCTTACAAAAGAATTATTCTTTTTTAAGAAAATGCAGGAAGTGCTAGAAATAATCAGCAGGACTGGCAAGTCATTCCAGCGGTTTCTGTTTTTATTTCTTATCTTTTATTTTTTTATTGCCAGTGACTGCAATGCCTTTTATATTTCTGCTGGAGATTTAACGTAAGGCCATCATTTATTGCCCATCCCCAATTACCCCTTGGAAAGGTATTGTGAGTTGCACCTTGAAATGTTGCAGGCTATACGCCCCTCATGAAAGTGGTTCCAGGATTTTGACGACTGACAGTGAAGGAACAGCAATAGTTAGTAAATCAGGATGCTGTGCTGTTTGCAGGGGCCAGTGCTCCCATGTACCTGCTGCCCTTGTCCTTCTTAGTTAGAAGTCATGGGTCTGGAAATGTGTCAGAGGAGCCTTGGTGTGTTTCTGTGATAAACCTGTAGATGGTACACACTGCTGCCACTGTGCATCAATGGTGGAGGGAGTCAGTCACACAGATAGAAGCTGGGGTCGCAGTTTCATTTATTGGATGTGCTTGGCACTGGCTAGGCCAGCATTTAATGCCCATCCCCAATTTCCCAGCAGGTAGTTAAGAGTCAATCACATTGCTGTGAGTCTGGAGTCACATGTAGGCCTGACCAGGTAACGATAACAATTTCCTACCCCCAAAGGCATGAATGGTTTTTCCTTTCAAAGGAATTGTCACCATTATACTGGCTTTTTATTCAGTTGGGATCTAAATTTTATCATCTGCTATAATGGGATCTGAACCCACACCCTCAGTGATAGGCTGTATTCTGGCTTATTAGGCTACTGACATTCCTGTTGTGCTATCACCTGCACCTATCCTCCTAGCAGCCCTCACATTCTATTCCCTCATTGAATCTAAATTCCACTATGCCTGTTAAGAAGATTGCTTTGCCTTGCATTCTGATGACCCTCTTGCCTCAGTCAAACCACACTTATTGAAACAAATGCAGAGTCCCCTCCATACTTGTGCCTTCGGTGGGGGTGGGGGTACAGGTGGACTGTCAAAGGACGGGTTACTTGCTGCAGACTTAACTTTCTCTTCTGGTTACAGTATTTAGTCAAGAGTAACTTCCAGGATGTTGATGGTGGGGTTTCAGTGATGGTGACACCACTGAATGTCAAAGCAAGATGGTTAGGTTCTCTCATTGCAAAATCTTGTTATCCAGGCCCTGCTGCAAATGGACAGCAGGAAGTGCAGAACCACAGAGCTTTGCGATGCACAGTGTCACAGAATAGATCCTATCTCCACTTCCTTCCCAAATCCTTCTCATTCTCATCAGCTATGATTCCCACAGGAGGGTTAGAGCAGAAGTCAATCTCTTCTCCATGACAGGATAGAGGAAAGAGAAGTGGAAGCTTAAATATGGAAACTTAGAAGAATGTCCTTGACCCTATCCACTGGAAAAGGTATACTTTGCAATGACCATAGAATCCCTACAGTTTGGAAGCAGGCCATGCAGTCCATCGAGTCCACACTGACCTTCTGAAGATCTTCCCACCCAGACCCACCCAATACCCACAACCCCTGCATTTCCCATGGCTAACCCACCTCGTCTGCACATCCCTGGACACTATAGGCGGTTTAGCATGGCCAATCCATCTAACCTACACACCTTTGGACTGTGGGAGGAAACCAGAGCACCCGGAGGAAACCCACGCAGACACGGGCAGAATGTGCAAACTCCACACAGACAGTCGCCTGAGGGTGGAATCGAACCTTGGTCCCTGGTGCTGTGAGGTAGCACTGTGCCACCCAGAGAGATCAACTTCAAGAGTTCACAAGGACAACTTCTCATACCTGAGGCCATGAGTTTGAATCCCACCATGGGCAGATAGTGAAATTCATTTCTAGGATGTGGGTGGCACTGACTACTCCATCCCTAATTGCCCTTGGAAAGGGCATGGTGAGCCAGTTTCTTGAGTGAATTTCAGAGGGCTGTCTTTGCTGAGGGTCTGGAGATAAGTCCAGGTTGGGTTGATTTTCTTTCCAAAAGGATTTTAATGATCCAGATAGATTTTTGAAAGACAGTCTGGTAGCTACACAGTAATCATGACTGAGCAATGAACATTTTATTCCAGCTTTATTTATTTGAATGAAATTTCCACCAACCACCATGATGGGGTTTGACACTAAATCTGCTGGAACATTAATCCCAGCATCTGATTCACTCAGCCCAGTAACATAGTCATTATGCCACCATATACCATCTTCTATTCTTGCCAGTTCTGAAAGCAAGCTCTCACCATCAAGCCTTCACATCAGTGAGTTTCTATCTGTTGAAACCCCAATACCATCCTTGTAACTCCATTAACCAATGCTTGACATTCTTTTTAACACTGCAGATCCTGTACACTGGGGTGGTCATTTATGCGCCTGCACTGATATTAAACCAAGGCAAGTAGTATCCATTTTGTTTCTCTTTTGTAGAATTAGCAAATGTGTGAGAGCTGAACTGCACTGCTCAAACCTTTTCTAAAATCAGATTAACATCATGTAGGCTACTTTACCCTTTACCAAATCCCTCCAACTCTTCAACACCTCTTCCTCTCTTTGCCCCTATCCCTCAAGGCTTAACTTTTCTGGACACAGCTTTTTGATTAGATTTCCCACTGTCTTCTTTGTCTTACATCTGTAGCAAATGTAATGAGGTCAGCCAGCTGGACATCGGAGAATAAGGGTTCTCTGATTGGGTCTGTTAATCTGGTTCAGTCAGGGAGCCCTGGCTGACATAAAAGGGTGAATGTCAGAGAAATTGGGACCCTCAATGCCTGACTCATTCAGAGGCAGAGCTATCATCATAGGCTGTGCACTTGTGAATAAAGATTGATTGGTGATGAGATGTTGGCATCTGAAGAGTTACTCCAACGTCCATTTTTCTTTTCCTGGTTACACCATAGCAATGCACCTTGGGTGGATGTTATACCTTAAAGGCGCTATGTACATGGAAATTGTTGTTGAAACAAACTCCACGTCAGCCGAATACGATGACCAGACTCTGAGATGGGGAACATGGCAATATGAAAGTATCGGCTCACATCCAACTGGAAGTCGAAAAAGAAATTCAGAACGATTTCTGTGGATATGTACTTTTCTGGCACCCATTCCCCATCACTATTTGTTCTTGAGAATTTGCTGCCCATCTTGTTTCTCGAGTTGCAACAGTCCACGTGAGTGTTGGAAAATCCACAGTGCCACTAGCTGGGACGTTCCAGGATTTTGGATCAGTGATATGAAAGATATATGGAAGATGTTTGGAAGAAAATAACCATGATCAAACCCTCCATTTAGCGTCGGAAATCTAGTAAAGATGATCACCAAGTCACAGGCATACTTTCAACTGCCAATCATCATATTTTCCCCGTCCATTGTACAATAAGACTCACCCATCGATTTTCAACTCTTAAATAATCGATGGAACAATGTTAAAACCAATTAATTCCAATAGAAATTGCAAAGATGTGAGTAATTCATGAAGACAGTAAACACTCTTTCACTGTCTCCTTTGCAGAATTTTGTCTTGTGAATTTCACATTTGGAATGTGCAATCTCTGTAGTTTCAGCACCCTAAACACCTCCTGGGTTACACCTTGATCCTGAAATTCTGGGCTTTGGTCCCTAAGAAACAAAGTGACCCTTACATGAGGCAAACTAAAAAACAAACACTAACATTTAAGGCAAAAGAATGATGAACAACTTTTATATGACTTAGACATTGACTTATCGATAGGCCAAAGGGCCTTTTTCTGTGCCGTAGACCTCTATGACTCCAAGACATGGACTTATAGGGTAGTTTCCTATTTTAATGAAATACAACTGTGCAAAGGAAGACCATTATGTGTAAGGCTCTCAGCACAATACACTGCTCAGCATGTTGGTCGAACTGTGTTGATGTGTGGTATAGTCTGATCCTGATACAACTTATTGTCTTTCAGTTACTGGTCTTAATATCTGGGTGTCCCTGCTATCCACTGGAATCATCTGCACATTCTACACAACTGTTGTGAGTACAGAGCACTTACTCCTAAATCCATAGCATTACATTAAATATCCTGACCTTCTATCATGTCCACACTTTTAGATTTTAGCTCAACCTGGCACCTTAATAGCTGACTGTGTAAACTGCAGAGAACTTCAGGATAGTCAGTAAAGTGATCTGCATTGCCTTTCCTCAACCAATGATACAATAGTTTCAAAACTAGAACCCTTCTCTGTGACATAACGCGATAAAGTGACGGTTCCTCTCTTTCTCTCTTCCTCTGGCCCCACAATCTTCTCCCTTTTATGCATTTCTCCAATTCTTTCATGAAAATTAATTCTGAATCAACTTCAACTGACTTATCAGGAAGTTTTTTTCTGGAGTAAATAAAAACACCTGTGTAAGATACGTTTTCCCTTCACTCCTCTCCAGCTCTTTTTCCAGTGGTTTTAAATCTGTGTCTTCTGATCATCAACTTTCCTGCCAGTGGAAATACCGGTAAATAGCAAGGAGGAAAGCCTTACACTGTGGGACAATGTACACAGACTGGTCCCATAAGTTGAACAGTGACAAATGGAATTTAATTCTGACAAGTGTGAATTTGGGGCACTAACAATGCAAAGGAGTATATGGTGGGACCTGAGGAAGTATACAGCATCAGAGGGGCCTTGGTGTGCATATCCACAGATGTTTCAAGGCCATGGGACAGGTAGGTAAAAGATAACAAGGTGTAGAGCTGGATGAACACAGCAGGCCAAGCAGCATCAGCAAGAAAGCTGACATTTTGGGTCTGGATCCTTCTTCAGAAATGGGGGAGGGTAAGAGGATTCTGAAATAAATAGGGAGAGATGGGGAGGGGCATAGAAGATGGATAAAGGAGAAGATAGGTGGAGAGGAGACAGACAGGTCAAAGAGGCGGAGATGGAGCCAGTAAAGGTGAGTGTAGGTGGGGAGGTAGGGAGGGGATAGGTCAGTCCAGGAAGGACGGACAGGTCAAGGAGGCAGGATGAGGCAAGAGGTAGGAGATGGGGGTGGGGCTTGAGGTGGCAGGAGGGGATAGGTGGCAGGAAGAACAGGTTAGGGAGGCGGGGACGAGCTGGGCTGGTTTTGGGATGCGGTTGGGGGAGGGGAGATTTTGAAGCTTGTGAAATCCACATTGATACCATTGGGCTGCAGGGTTCCCAAGCAAAATATGAGTTGCTGTTCCTGCAACCTTTGGGTGGCATCGTTGTGGCACTGCAGGAGGCCCAGGATGGACATGTCGTCTGAGGAATGGGAGGGGGAGTTGAAATGGTTCGCGACTGGGAGGTGCAGTTGTTTATTGCGAACCGAGGGTAGGTGTTCCGCAAAGCGGTCCCCAAGCCTCCTCTTGGTTTCCCCGATGTAGAGGAGGCGACAACGAGAACAGCGGATACAGTATACCACATTAGCAGATGTGCAGATGAACATCTGTTTGATGTGGAAGGTCTTCTTGGGGCCTGGGATGGGGGTGAGGGGGTAGGTGTAGGGGCAGGTGTAACACTTCCTGCGGGTGCAGGGAAAAGTGCTGGGGGTGGTGGGCCTGGAGGGGAGTGTGGAGCGGACAAGGGAGTCACGGAGAGAGTGGTCCTGCCGGAAAGCAGATAAGGGTGGGGAGGGAAAAATGTCTTTGGTTGTGGGGTCAGATTGCAGATGGCGGAAGTGCCAGAGGATGATGTGTTGGATCCGGAGGTTGGTGGGGTGGTACGTGAGGATGACGGGGATTCTGTTTTGGTTGTTATTGCGGGGAGGGGTTGTGAGGGATGAGTTGCGGGAAATGTGAGAGACACGGTCGAGGGCATTTTCAACCAGGCAGATAAGGTGGTTTAAGAAGGCATATGAGATACTTAATTGAGGCATTGAAAACAAGAGCAAGGAAGTTTTGATGGAGCTGTATATAGCGTTTGTTAGGTCACAGCTAGAGCATGGTGAGCATTTCTGGTCACCACCACACAGAGGGGATGTGGTTGCACTAGAGAGGGTCAATAATCATGACCACATTCTAAAGGTAAGGAGCAGGAGGTCCAAAGGGGATGTGAGGGAAGATTTTTTGATTCAGAAGGTGATGGGTATCTGGAACTGACTGCCTAAAAGGGTGGGAGAGGTAGGAATGCACAAGTAATTTAACAAGTATTTAGGTGAGCACTTGAAGCATCATTGCATACTAGGTTACAAGTTAAGTGCTGGGACATCTGGTAGGAATTGATAGATGTTTTATGACTAGTGCAGATACGATGGGCCACATGGCCTTTTTCCATGCTGACAAGCTCTATGGCTCTCATTTCAGTAGCTTCTCTTGATGCTAAATGACCAAGGATGTGGGTGGCATGCTGCTTTGTCCTTCCTCATGTTCCTGGGTTTAATGACCTCCATTCTTGTGCCTCCAGGGAGGGTTGAAAGCTGTGATCTGGACTGATGTCTTCCAAATCATCACCATGATGTCTGGCTTCATTGCCATCATGGTCCGTGGCACCTACTTGACTGGAGGAACCCAAGGTGTTCTGGCGACTGCGTATAATGGGTCCCGGATCAACTTTGGAGAGTAAGAAATTGTCTTTGAAGTTCATCACCGGGACACCAAGTATCCCGGAAGATCCTAAATCTCCATGGTAACTGAATCTGGTTGATTTAATTTCCTTGCACCTTGAGTGAGCCAGAATTCAAACATGAGGAAGAAGGTGCGACAGTCACATTCCACTCCTGAATATCTTTCTTCGATGAACTTATCTCTTCTCTGTTTGAAGGCAACATCTTTAGAAAGTCTCCAGCTCCTCAACCAAGTGACGAAATTTCACATAACAGACTCATGATAGAAGGTTAGAGCCAGGTATGGTCAGGGGGACAATTAAAGGATATACAGTGAATTGGCTAAAAATTGGATCCTACAATGGTTGCAGCAGAGAGAAGGAGGCCATTCAGCCTGATGTGCCCATGCCAGCCCTCTGCAAGGCCAACTCTGTGAGTTCCATTCCCCCGCCTCTCCCCATAGACCCAGCAACTGGCAAGTGAGGAGGTAGAGTTATTCAGGTTGAAGGACGGGAGAAAGCAAGATCCCATAGGGAGTAGTGCTGGGATCACTATTAAGAGCACGTTCAAAATTTGAAGGTGATACTGAACTGGGTGCTATGGCTAAACAAAATAAGAATACAACAGAATAGCCAAAGATGGGGTGGCACAGTGTCTCAGTGGTTAGCACTGCTGCCTCACAGCACCAGGGACCTAGGTTCGATTCCACCCTTGGGCAACTGTCTATGTGGAGTTTGTACATTCTCCTCATGTCTGCGTGGGCTTCCTCCGGGTGCTCTGGTTTTCTCCCACAGTCCAAAGGTGTGCAGGCTAGGTGGATTGGCCATACTGAATTGCCCATAGAGTTCAGGGATGTGTAGGTTAGGTGGGTTATAGGGGGATGGGTCTGGGTGGGATGCTGTGAGGGTTGGTGTGGACTTGCTAGGCCAAAGGACCTGTTTCCACACTGTAGGGATTCTTACGATTCCATGAAGACATGAGAGAACGTGAAGATTGGGCATTAGGTGGTGAATGACATTTATCATGGATAGATGTGAGGTGATGAACTTTGACCAAGCAAACTGAAACATCATCTGCACCCTCAGGAATAAGAACAAATTGGGGTGGAAGCGCAAAGGCACCTGGGGATACATGTGAACAGATCATTAAAAAATAACAATACAGGTCAGCAAAGTAATTAAAAATACTAATAAAACACTAGAATTCCTGTGAAACTTGTATGGGACCCTGGTTCAGACCACATTTGAGATGATAAGCACAAAGTAGGTCTCCACACATAAAGTGCTGAAGAGAATGAGAAAAGGATTTTGTTTTGAACAACATCAAAACTGAGAGCCTTTAGCAAACAGGTTAAATCGATCAGGTTAAAGCTTATTTTCTTTTAAAAATGGAAGGTTCAAAGCTGAGGGAAGAGATCTTTGAAATTATGAATGGGTTAGACAGAGTGGATCGGGAAAGATTGTTTCCAATTCTGGAAGAATCCAAAACTAGAGATGATAAACGCAGAATAATAACAAATGAATTCAACGTGCAAATGATGGAGAAATGACGTTACTCAGAGAATTGGCGAGATGTCATCTTGCAGTCCCGAGAAGTGATTGAGAGGAAGTATTTGGTGCTTTTGAATGGAAAGTAGACGAGTAGGTGAGAGAAGACAGAACAAAAATAGAGGCTGAGATGTTGTTGATGGGACAAGAGGCGTCTCATGCCATCTACAAATATCAGCAAAGCCTTTTCAGGCAGAATGGCATGATTTTTGTGCTGGATATTCCACATAATTCAAGTTATCATTAACTGTGTTGGCAGAATTTTTCTCTTTTGAGATTTCATGTTTGAATTCAATCCCATACCCAGTTTACTCAGCATCATGTTTCCTGATTTTTTTTTCATGAGGTGTGGGTATTGCTGGTAAAGCCAAGATTTGTTGCTGATTCCTCAAAGCCCTTGAATTGAATGGCTTGCTAGGGGAGAGCAATTAAGAGTTAAAACATTGCTGTGGGTCTGGAGTCCCATGTAGGCCAGACCAGGTAAGGATGACAGTTTCCTTCCCTAAAGGATACTAATGAACCAGATGGGTTTTTTTGACAGCCAATAATAATTTCATGGTTACCATCACATGAGACTAGAGTCATCGAATCCCTACAGTGCAGAACCATTTGGCTCATCAAGTTCATACCAACCCTCCAAAGACCATCTCACCCAAACCCCACTCCCCTACGTTTCCCATGGCTAACCCATCTAGCCTGCAATTTCCTGGCAATATGAGCAATTTAGCGCTGCCAATCCACCCTAACCTGCACATTTGTGGACTGTGGGTGGAAACCGGAGCACCTAGCAGAAATCAGCGCAGACAGAGGAAAAACATGAACACTCCACACAGACTGTCAACCAAGGGTGGGCTTGAACCTGGGTCCCTGCTGTTGTAAGGCAGCAGTACTAATCACTGAGTTGCTGTGTCAGCCTAGCTTTTGTTGGAATTGAATGTCATCAAGCTGCCTTGGTAGGATTTGAATGCCCATCCCCAGAGAATTTGGCTGGGCCTATGGATTACTGGTACCAGTGACTCTACCACTCCTCCACTGTCGGAGGAATTGGAGCCCTGGCCAATATTATTTTCCTGCACTGCACTATGCTAATTGTTGCTATTAGCCCAGGACAGGTAAGGAAATGAAATTCAGGTGCTTAGGTCTATGTGGCTCGTAACATTAATACTTTTTATTTGTTCCTTGAATATCAGCATCACCAGCAACTTGGGTATTTATTGTCCACTCCTAATTTTATTTGGTTCAGAAGTTAGCTCCCCACACCTTTCTTAAGGGCAATTATGGATGGGCAATAAATGCTGGCCTTCTCAGAATTGGCCACATGGTAAGAATAGTTATAACCAACCCTCAGGAGGTCTTGTCCTGGTAACGTCTGCCTTGCGCTCAAAAAACTAAAGTGACATCACATGTAATTGTCCAGGCAGGTTTGAAGAGTGTTTGGCCCTGGTCATAGATTCGTAGAGCCATAGAGGTTTACAGCATGGAAACAGGTTCATTGGGCCCACCTTGTCCATGCTGCCCAGTTTTCACTATTAATTTAGCCCAATTTGCCTGCATTTGGTCCATATGCACCCCCCTCCGCCCAACCCCACACCTATCCCATCCATGTACTTGTCCAAATGTTTCTTAAATGACAAAATTAAATTCATCTCCACCACTATCTCTGGCAGCCCATTCCAGACACTCACCACCTTCTGTGTGAAAACATTGCCCCTCTGGACCCTTTTGTATCTTTCCCCTCTCAGCTTAAACCTATGCCATCTAGTTTTAGACTCCCATACAATGAGAAAAAGCAGTTGGCTATCTGCCTTATCTATGCCTCTCATGATTTTATAGAATGCTGTAAGGTCATCCCTCAGTCTCCTACACTCCAGGGAAAAAAAATGTCCCAGCCTATCCAACATCTCCTTTTAAGTCAAGCTTTCCAATCTGGGTAGCATCCTGGTAAATCTTTTCTGCACTCTTTCTAGTTTAATAATATCATCTGTAGATTGACCTTTTTACCGTCAATTGATGAAAGCTCTCTGTTTAGTTTTGACCCAGATCCAAGGAGACGTTACACCTTCTGGACTTTTGTTATCGGCGGAACTGTGCTGTGGTTATCCATGTATGGAGTGAATCAAGCTCAAGTCCAGCGCTACATCGCCTGCAAAACAGAATCTCAGGCCCAGCTGTAAGTTTGAGTGATCTGAGCAGAGGGGATCTGTAAACAGTGTGAGTCAGGAGGTGAATAAACATGCAGAATGGTGTCCAAGGGAAGGGGCAGCAAGATTCCACTCAGATAGCTCATGAAGGGCTGGCCAGGGAAACTGGTGCCAAACTCATTCTTTTTCAGCAGATCCGGTCCTGAAGGGAAGAGACAGAATATCTTTGGCTCGTGATTGGCGTTTGAAATTCCACTTGTCAAGCTGTCCCAAAAAATATCCTGTGGGTTGAAAGAACAGCATCTCCAAGCACTGACTCAGCTTCAGAACATTGCATGCAATGATGAGTCAGGGTTTGAGATGATGGTGAGGGTCTGGAATTTGGGATTTAGCTGCCGTGCAGTTCTTGTCTATCATGATGAGGCAATGCAAAGTATGGGAGCTGATCAGTCATTTTAGTTGTTTCTCTACACAGGGCAAGTGCATGAATGGCCTTACAAGTGAACTGTAAGCACCACAAGTATAGGGGGGCAATTCAGTGTGGGAGCTAGTGATAAGGAACCTAGTTTGCAATGTCACATTCTGCTTTAGCGACATCCTGAGCTCTCGGAAGGCGCTATGTAAATGCAAGTCCTCGCCTCTTTTGTGAACTGTCCTGACATTGAGGACTTGGAGCAGTTCCCATAGTACTGCAGATGGGAGGTCACAGGGTTTCTCTGGTTTGTATAGGTGGCGCCTCCCACACGGGATTCTCCCTAGCTCCTCCTGCCTTCCTCTGGTTGACTTTCCCTGAAGTCTATGACAGTCCATTGGGAGGATCCCGGTGGGAATTCCTCACTGACAGGTACCATTCTGTGGGTGAAGGATCGCTACCTGATCTGAGACAACTCTCTGAGTAGCTGCTGTGCCATCCTGGGTCAGCCTGAGATGATGGACAGAAGGGTCTCACTACCGCAGGCCATTCAGCCCCTCTTCCATCATTGCTTAATTGTACCATGGCTGATCCTTCTCTCGACTGTACCTGACCGTGTTGATCAGTTGACCCTCCATACCCTTACCCAACAAAAATCTAGCAACCCACACTTTGAAATTTTCATGAAGCATGTAGCCTCACCATCTCTTTGTGGGACAGAGTTCCAGATTTCCATAAATTGTGTTGAAGAAGACTTGCATCAAGACTGAAGTAAATTTACTAATCTGCCGGCCTCAAACTAAAAGACGTAGGAGCAGGAGTTGTCCATTCAGCCCATCGGATCTGCTGCTCCATTCAATGAGACCATAGCTGATCTGATAATCCTCAACTCCACTTCCCTGCCTTTTTCCCATAGTCCTTGATTCCCCTTCCTGATTAACAACCTGTCTGTTTCAGCCTTGAACATACTTAAGGACAGCCCTCTGTAATAAGGAATTCCACAGATTTATGACTGTGGTCCTAGGCTCTTCCACAGAGGGAAACAATTTCTCATGTACCCTGTCAAGTCCCCTAACAATTTTTTTTAATGTTTTAGTAAGAATATCTCTCATTCTGCTAAATTCCAATGAATACAAGTGCAACTCTCAATCTCTGCTCATACGACAGTCCCTCCATACCCAAGAGCATCCTAATTAACCTTCTCTACAGATCTCACAGCCTCTAAGGCAAGGAGGTACTGCAGAGATAGGCCAGCCATAACTGTATTGGATGGCAGGGAAGGCTTGAATGATCAAGTGGCCTCCTCCTGTTCATTTGTTTTTTTTAACAAGAAGAGACAACAATGCATTGGTCTGAAACACAATCCAGATGTTGCTCAGACCATGTCCAAAAAGGCTGATTATTTTTTCAAAGGCAGGCAGGCGCTCTCTTTCTCTCTCTCTTTCCTCCTTTAGGATGCTTTTGTCCTTAGCTCTCATGCAGTTGCGTCATGCCTGTTTCCTGCTTCCAGGTTTGATCTCTGCATGAAGCGTTAGCCTCATAGTAGACTTTAAGGTGACTGAAGGGGAATGAGGTGCTGGGAACACTTGCCTGACTGACAGCTTGGACTGTCAGTATTGGACTTTGCTTCATTAAGGAAATAATCTTGTAAGAAGCTCGAAAAGGGGCTCTCAATTCAGCCAATCTTTTGCGCTTCATGAACCATTGCAAGATGCTAAAAGCACTTGGCTGACTCCATTACCTCTCTACAGTTCTCTCAGAGAGATCTCGCTGTTTCTTCAACCATTTCCTCAGTTTCAGGATGAAAAGGCGTGCAGAGAGTGGGTAAACATTCTGTCTCTCCCACACAGTGTGACGCTCTGTTTCCATTTGTCGTCTCGTGTTTGAGAGGGAACTGGAGAGCACTTGAAGCGTGAAAGATTGTGAAATGGCTGAAACCTGCTTGTGTTTGTTTCCAGCGCTATCCTTGTGAACCAAGTTGGGCTGTGGATGATAGTGACGAGTGCAGCGACCTGTGGGATCATTCTGTTCGCCTTGTACAGGGACTGTGATCCTGTCAAAGCAGGACACGTCACTGCACCTGACCAGGTGAGTCTAACACACAATGACAAGGCTGAAGGAGAAAGTCTGGTGTAGCATTTACATCAGAAAGATACCTGTATTTATCCATCAGCCCTTCCCCGCTCTGCACAAACTCCTTCACCCCAGAAACACAAACAGAAATTGCTGGAAAAGCTCAGCAGGAGCAGGCAGCATCTGTGGAGAGAAACCAGAGTTACTGTTTCGGGTCGGGTGACCCTTCCTCAGAACCGCTCTGTCAGACCTGCTGATCTTTTCCACCGGTTTCTGTTTTGGTTTCTGGTTTACAGCACCTGCAGCTTCTTCGGTTTCTCCTTCACCCCAGCCCCAGTTTCTTTGCTATGGGGCAATGGGCCGAGGAGTAAGGTGGGGAGGGAATGGGAGCGGCCTAGACCATGAATTTCTTCTTGTGAGGGCTGGCAGTAGCATGATGGGCTGAATGGATTCTGTGCTGTAACATTCTATCCCAGAAACACAACCAGTGCAGGAGGTGGGTGAGCGGCTTGAAAAGCAAAGGAGCTTTATTACAGTCTGTACATTATACATATGTATATATTATGCTGACATATATTATACACACACCCACACACACATATTTTTACATATATATAGACACACACAATACATACCTATGCATTATATGTACATTTATTATAGACATATACTATACATACATATGTTTTATATACACACATATATACAGTATAGGCATTTTTATTATCTACAGGAATTATAGACCAGTCAGCCTAATGCCAGCATGGGGAAAATGTTAGAGTCCATGATAAAAGATTTGGTAGTTGAGCATTTGGAAAAGCATGACATCGGACAGAGCTAGCATGGATTTACAAAAGGGGTTATCGTGGTTGAGGAAGCTGCTGTAATTCTCCAAGAATGTACCTCATGGAATTAATCTGGAAGAGCCAGTGGATGTGGTTTATTTGGACACTCAGAAAGTTTTAGACAAAGTCTCATATAAGAGATTAGTGTGTAAAATTAAAATGCATAAGATTCGAGGTTGCATATTGAGATGGTTGGAGAACTGGATAGCAGCCAGTGAACAAAAGAGTAAGAATAAATGAGGGACAACAAGGTGCAGGGCTGGATGAACACAGCAGGCCAAGCAGTATCATAGGAGCAGAAAGTCTGACGTTTCGGGCTTAGACCCTTCATCAGAAAAGGTAAGAATAAATGGGTCTCTTTCTGATTGACAGGCGGTGAGCAGTGGAGTCCTGCGGGAACCAGAGCTAGGACCCAAGCTATTCACAATATATGTGAATGATTTAGATGACGGAACTAAATGTAATATCTCCATTAAGCTGGAGGGAGGGTGAGCTGTGAGGAGGATGCAGAGAAGTTTCAGTGTGATGGGGGCAGGCTGAGTGAATGCGCAATGCATAGACAGGTGCAGTATAACGTGGATCAATGTGAGGTTATCCAATTTGGGAGCAAGAGGAGGGAGGCAGATTGTTAACTGAGTTGCTGTAAATTGAGAGAGGGTTCCAGGACTACGTGCTGAGGGATGCAGTAAAGCTTGGAGCAGCTGCTGCGAAGGCACAGTGGGGAAAGACCACTGTCTGAGGTCTTCCTGCTGAAGGTAAATGGGGATCCATTCAGTTATCAGACCCTCCTGGTGCCGTAAATGTATGTAAATATTAGTATTGTATGTGTAAGAGAGGCGTTTTGTTTTTTGGATAGAGTCAAAGTCTAATGTTTTGTGTATTTACTTGATACACAACCGCACAGAACCAAACTGCCTTTGTGACAATGTATATATACAAAGAGATTTTTTATGAATGATGTATATTTTTGAAATGAAGAAAAGAAATTACTGGGCAGGGAAAATCCATGATCCAGAAAATGTTTCTCCCAGGATGAGTCTGAGCTGAGAACTTTCATCACTAGCAAATCTTGAGATCGTTGCTGGATCGTGACTGTGAGCTGAATATGAGCTGCAATTGGTGGATCTTTATACTGGTTTCAGTCCAATGCCAATTCAGCCAACCAAAGCTATGGCCTCTGCTAGTGCCCCCCACCCTAGGCCAGGGGCTCTGCAATACAGTCAGGGTGACTGTGAAGAAGGTGCAGGAAGGATCACTGGTCAACTAGACCTTCCTTGTGAGGAAAGTTCTCCCGGATTGCTCTGGGTTCCAAGCAACAGATATTTTCTGATTGCAGGATTTCCCCACCGGGAGCTACTTAGAAATGACCTCCCAGAGCATGAAGCAATGTGAGCATCTCCTGAAGGTATTCAAGGAGAAAGGAGGCGAGGGTCCCCTCTCTCTCCTGTCTCTGGCACCATTGTTTGTCCTCCCTGTACATGGATGACATCACCATTTTCTGCTCTGACCTGCTGTCAGTGCACACGCTCATGAGCATCTGTGACGATTCGAACTGGCCTCGGGAGCCAACGGAAATCGAGGCAAGAATGAGGCCCTTGTTCTTTAGGAACTGGGCCGACCAAATCTTTATCCCCTTCGCTGTGAGGGCAGACTACCTGGAGGTGTTGGGAATATGGTTCAGAGGTGCTGGGGTGCACTAAATCTTGGGAGGAGGTTATTGTCAAAGTGAGGCAGAAACTGGTATTTTGGGAGCACTGCTCCCTCTCTATTCCTGGCTAAAACCTGCTCATTAGGTGTGAGGTACTCTCTCTGTTTTTGTACATGGTGCTGGTCTGGCCGATTCCCCGAAACTGCGCTGCTGCAGTCACCCGAGCCATCTTCCAGTTCATCTGGAGGTCTAAGATGGACAGTGTCTGTAGGAACACCATGTACAAAACTCTGGCTAAGGGAGGGATGGTCACCTTTGGGTGTGTGTGGGCAGATCCTCGATGCACAAACACCAAGTGTCTCTACATACTGAGGTTCTATATGTCCCCGGTGTTGTGCAGGATGGGGTGGGCCTCATTGCTGTGGAACGTTCCAAGTAGTTGGACCATTCTGTATCAGCTGTCCCTCATGGGGAAATTTGTAAAGAGAAAAACCTTTGACCACAAGTCCATCAAGAAGTGATCAGCACATAGTATCCTTGGGAGCCAGCAGGAAGAGGAGAGGCTGGGTCCTGTCGTGTGGTTCCCTGAGCCAACTGTCACAGTCATTCAGCAGAATGCCTCCTCACCAGAACCAAGTACCAAGTACATTGCCTGGTTGGTGGTGAGAAGGACACCATCTGTGAGATCCTTCATATACACCCAGACTCTCTGTGCCACCACACGCTGCCCTCAAAGTGGCTGCTGCGGGAGAAATTGAGAACTGTCCCACCCCTCCTGCTGGAATGTACCTTTACAAAGGAACTCTGGAGGAAGATGCAGTGGTTTGTGTCAAGATTTGTCCTGAGCAGCTCCACAACGGGGGACTCTGTGCTATACAGTCTGTTCCCGGGACTCACACAGAGTCAAGCATCAACTGCGCCTGGAGGGCCATCAGTTTGGTGAAAGACACTCTGGTCTACCCAAAACTTGTTGGTCTTCCAGAGCGTTGCATTAAAGCTTGGGGCAGCTGCTGCTAAAGTGCAGTGGGGAAAGACCATTGTCTGAAGTCTTTCTGCTGAAATTAAATGGGGGTCTGTTCAGTTATTGGACCCTCCCAGTGCCTCAAATAAAGAATATGTTACATAGGTAAGAAATGCCTTGAGTTTGTTTGTTGGAACGGTCAGGAAAGTCAAACTCCGATGTATGTTTGTTTCTACATGTAAAGACTGTGCAGAACTGAATTGGTCTCTTTACTATGTATGGATATAAAAATATTTTTTATGGATAAAGTATTTTCTGAAATAAAGAAAAGGGGAATGTGCAGTGACACCTGGGTGTCCTTGATTGGTTTATCTAAGACCTTCTTTCTACTTGCAGATGATGCCATTCATGGTGCTGGATATCTTTCAGAACTACCCTGGAGTTCCAGGATTGTTCCTTTCTGCAGCGTTCAGTGGGACATTGAGGTACTACATGAATTTATATTCAGCATCATAAGAGTTGGCTTTCCTGAATTTCGTTGTGTATGAAATGGGCAGAGCAGGTGCCTATTAACCCTCTCTCAGAGCTCTGAGAAGGTGAAGGTGGACCTCCATCCTTACATCTGCATCTTTTGCTGTGGCGTTGGCGATCTGACGATGGTGACAGGAGGACAATTCCTGGATATTCATTCACATCTTTTCAAGACTAAGACATGACTATTGCCCCCATGACTTTGCTGCTTTTCTCCATGGGGATAAAATCGGTGAGGCAGTTGGCAACTCTTGCATGAATGGGTTTGAGTCCCACTCCAGGATTTGAGCTTGTAAGTGAGGCCTTCCTGTGTTGGAAATTTATCTCAGCTCCTTCAGTGTCATTGGGTCAAAATCCTAGAACTCCCTCCTGAATGTCATTGCAGCTCAAATAGGCAGCTCACTGCTGCCACCTCAAGGGCAGTTAGGGATGGGCAATAAATGCTGGCCCAGCCGGCCATAACCATATCCCAAGAATGAATAAAATTAAAATCGATGTAGTCCACATCCAGTGATGCACTGAGGGAGCACAACACGACAGAGGTTGATAATAACTGGGGTTCCCTGGCCATTAAGGTCTATGTTAAAGATTCTGTGATAGTCTTTCTACAGGAAAGCTGCAAGGACCCTCAGTGTCTGGAGCAACACTTTCTCCCTCAACCTGCATTATTAATATCAGATTAACTGATTAGCTTTTGTATTGCTGTCTATGGAATTTTGTTTATTTTTTTCCCCCTTTATTCATTCACATTGCTGACCAGGCAGCATTTATTGCCCATCCCTAATTGCCCAGAGGGCAGTTAAGAGTCAACTACCTTGCTGTGGATCTGGAGTAGGCCATGCCAGTTTCCTTCTCTAAAGGGTCCTAGTAAACCAGATGGGTTTTTCCTGACAATCAATTCATAGTTATTAAAGATTCCTAATTCCAGATATTTTAATTGAATTCAAATTCAACTATCTGCCTTGGTGAGATGTGAACCCAGGTCCCCACACGTTGTCTGGGTTTTCAAATCTAGCATTAATACCATTAGGCCATCACTTCCCTGTTGCTCTATTTACCTAAAAGAGTATCTATCTTTCACTAACTCAGGAATTCAGTTACCAATCAGTTATTCACAAAATGTTCAGTATTATTGAATGCCTGGAGATTGGGAAAGCTGTGCTAAAACTCTCAGGTATTGTTCATCTTGTAACGTAATACCTCGACTAATTCATCAAAGCCCCAGAGGACCACAGTGTTCTCTCATTATAAAGAGATGATTGATGGTGTTTTATCCTAAGGGTCACCACACCTCAGGTGAGGGGAGAGGTTGAGAAGGTGAGTGCTTCATGGTAACCACAGCTGGTGCAGGAATTAGGCAGTAACATCCTGCAAACAACTCTGAGATGAATGATGGTTTTGTCGCTGTGGACTGAGGGATGCAAGTTGACCAGGACAGCTTCCTGATCCTCTACTTGTGCAATCTGAGGTTTGGCGTCCGTCTGACAAGCAGATAAGATCTCAGTTTCACTTCTCACCTGAAGGACTGTTTTTCCAATATTCCCTCTCTGGAATATCAGTCCGTTCTACTTCCTTGTGTGGTTCAAAGCTAGTCGTTTCTGACACAAGGGTCAGCGTCTTATCCGTTATTGTATGTCATTGCGATTTGAGACCACACCTTAAAATGCTATTTTCTTTACAGCACAGTATCAACCAGTATCAACGCTATGGCTGCATGTACTGTGGAGGACATAATCAAACCCAGGCAGAAAGTATTGTCTGAAAGGAAGTTAATTCTAATATCCAAAGGATTGTGTAAGTGTCTGTCTGCATGTTAACAATGTACCAATCTGTGGGAGCTAGGTTACACCAAGAATTAATCAATCATAATTAGCAAAGGCAGATTCAATTTCCATTACTCTATAGCACAGTCTGTTGCTTAAGAACATGAGAAACCAGAGCAGGAAAAGGCCAAGTGAAATTGTAGGTCTACTTTGCTATTTAATATAATCATTCCTAATCTCCTACTGCAACTCCACTTAACTGCATTCTCTCCGAATCCCTTCGTTCTCTTGATTTTTTTCAAATTTGTTCATGGGATGTGGATACCACAGGCTAGGCCAGAATTTGTTGGCCATCTTTAACTGCCCTTCAAAAGGTTGCAGTCCATGTGGTGCTGGTTCACCCACAGCGCAGGTTAGGAGGGCGTTCCAGAATTTTGACCCAGCCACAACGAAGAAAGGTGACATTGTTCCATACCAGGACCACTTGTGTTATGGAGGAGAGCTTGCAACTTGCACTGTTGCTGTGTACCTTCTGTCCTTATTCTTCGAGATGGTAGAAGTTGCAGGTTGGGAAGGTTCAATTGAAGGGGCTGTGATGAGTTGCTGCAATGCATCTTGTAGATGGTGCATGCTGCTGCGACCGTGCATTGGTAGTTGGGCTCAGGACATAAGAATTAGAACTAGAATTAGAATTAGAATTAGAAATAGAAATAGAATTAGAAATAGAATTAGAACTAGAACTAGCATTAGAATTAGAATTAGAATTAGACCATAAGGCACAGGAGCAGAAATTAGACCATTTGCCCCATCGAGTCTGCTCTGCCATTCAATCATAGCTGTAAAGTTTCTCAACTCTATTCTCCCGCTTGATACCCTTGATAATCAAGAACCTATCTATCTCTGTCTTAAATATACTCAATGACCTGGCCTCCACAGCCTTCTGTGGCAGTGAATTCCATAGATTCACCATCCTCTGGCTGAAGAAGTTTCTTGTTATCTCTGTTCTAAAAGGTCTTCCCTTTGCTCTAAAGCTGTGCCCTTGGGTCCTAGTCTCTCTGACCAATGGAAGCATCTTCCCAACATCCACTTTGTCCAGGCCATTCAGTATTCTGTAAATTTCAATTAGATCCCCCCTCATCCTTCTAAACTCCATCAAGTACACACGCAGAGTCATCAAATGTTCCTCATACGTTAATCTTTTCATTCCTGGGATCATTCTCATGTACCTCCTCTGGACCTGCTCCAGGGCCAGTACATCTTTACTGAGGTATGGGACCCAAAATTGCTCACAACACTCTAAATGTGCTATGACTAGAGCTTCATAAAGCCTTAGAAGTACACCCTTGCTTTTATATTCTAGTCCTCAAAGCTAACATTGTATTTGCTTTCCTAACTACCGACCACTTTTAACCTCACTCTCTGCTTTCTGCCAGACAGCCAATCTTCCATCCATGTTAGCACCTTGCCTCTAACACCATGGGCCCTTATCTTACTCAGCAGCCTCCTGTGTAGCACCTTATCAAAGGCCTTCTGGAACTCCGGGTAGATAACATCCATTGGCTCTCCTTGGTCTACCCTGCTCATTACTTCCTCAAAGAATTCTAATAGATTTGTCAGTCATGACCTCCCCTTGATGAAGACATGCTGACTTTGCCCTGTTTTACCATGCACTTCCACGTATTCAGAAATCTCATCCTTCACAATGGACTCTAAAATCTTACCCACGACTGATGTCAGGCTAATCAGCTTGTAATTTCCATCTTTTACCTTACTCCCTTCTTAAACAGGAGGGTTACATTAGCCATTTTTCCAGACCCTGATTCCAGTGATTCCTGAAAGATCACCACTAACACTTCCACTATCTCTTCAGTTACCTCCTTCAGACCCTGGGGTGTAGTCCATCTGGTCCAGGTGATTTATCCTTTCAGTTTTTCTAGCAACTTCTCATACATCCATAGAGTCCTACAGCACAGAGACAGGCTCTTTGGCCCAAACTGGTCCATGTCAACCAAAGTGTCCATCCACGTTAACCCCATTTCCCTGCACTTGGCCCATTTCCTTCTAAACCTTTCCTATCCATGTATTCATCCAAAAACCTTTTAAATGTTGTTAATGTACCCACCTTGACCACTTCCGCTGGCAGCTCATTCCATATGCGTACCATCATTTGTGTAAAAACGTTGCCCTTCAGGTTCCCATGTAGTCTTTTCCCTCTTACCTTAAACTCATGCCCTCTAGTCCTCGATTCCCCAACCCTGGGAAAAAGACTGAGTGTATTCACCTAGCCATGCCTCTCATGAGCTTAGACAGATCCCCCCTCAGCCTCCTACGCTCGAAAGAAAAAATCCTAGCTTGTCCAACCTCTCCCTATAACTCAGTCTCTTGAGTCTTGGCAACATCCTTGTAAATTTCTTCTGGACTCTTTCCAGTTTAATAACATCCTTCCTATCGCAAGGTGACCAAAACCGAACACAATACTCCAAGTGCAACCTTACCAATGCCCTGTAAAACTGCAACATAACTTCTCAACTTCTATACTCAATGCCCTGGTTGATAAGGGCCAGTGTGCCAAAAGCCTTCTTCACTGCTCTGTCTACCCGTGACTCTGCTTTCAGAGAACTGTGCACCTGAACTCCAAGGTCCCCCTGTTCCATTCCTTAAGGCCCTATCATTCACCAGGAAACTCCTACCTTCATTTAACTTTCCAAAATGCAACACCTCACACTTATCTATATTAAACTCCATTTGCCATTTCTCAGCCCACTCACCCAGCTGATCAAGATCCTGCTGCAATTTCTGATAACCTTCCTCACTGTCCACAACACCACCTATTTTAGTGTCATCCGCAAACTTACGAATCATGCCCCTTACATTCTCATTCAAATCATTGATATACATAACAAACAGCAATGGGTCCAACCCTGACCCCTGAGCACACCACTAGTCACAGGCTTCCAGTCTGACAAGCATCCTTCCACTATTACCCTCTGCTTCCTACCATCAAGCCAATTGTGTATCCAATTTGCCAGCTCTCCCTGGATTCCATGTGATCTAACCTTCCAGAGCAGCCTACCACATGGAACCTTACCAAAGACCTTACTGAAATCCATACAGACTATGCCTACTGCCCTGCCCTCATCAACCTTCCTGGTCACTTCATCAAAGAACTCTAACAAATTTGTGAGGCATGATCTCCCACGAACAAAGCCATGCTGACTACTCCTAATCAAAACCTGTCTTTTCCATATGCATATATATCTTATCCCTCAGAATCTTCTCAAGTAACTTATCTACCACAGATATTAAGCTTACTGGTCTATAGTTCCCAGGTTTTTCTTTTCAGCCCTTCTTGAATAAGGGCACAACATTCGCTACCCTCCAGTCTTCCAGGACCTCACTAATGGCGAACAACGATGGAAATATATCAGCCAGGGCCCCCCACAATTTCTTCTCCAGTCTCTTGCAGGGCTCTTGGATATATCTGGTCAGTGCCAGGTGATTTATCCACCTTCATATTTTCTAATACCTTCAACACCTCCACTACTGTGATATGGACTGACCCCAAGATATCAGTACAAGCTTCCCCAAGTTCCCAAGTCTTCATGTCTTTCTCCATGTAAACATATAGGAGAAATAATCATCTCCTACAGTTCCACACATAGATTGGTCCACTTTGGTCCTTGAGGGATCCCATTCTCGTTATCGTTATTCTTTTTCCTTTAATATACTTAAAGAATCTCTTTGGACTCACCCTAATCTTCTCAGACAAAGGTTTCTCATGCTCCCTTTTTGCCCTCCTGACTTCCTTCTTCAGTAAACTCCAGTATCCCCTATATACCTCCAGGGACTCCCTTGATCCCAGCTTCCTGCTCCTGAGCCATGCCTCCTTCTTTTTTCCGGCCAAAATCTCAATATCTCTTGTCATCCAGGGTTCCCTACTCCTGCTAACATTGCCCTTCACCCTCACAGGAACATATAACCCTTAAACTCTAGCTATCACACTTTTAAAGGCCTCCCACTTTGCCAGAAGTCCCTTTGCCTGCAAACAAACTATTCCAATCAACTCCTGCAAGCTCCTGCCTAATTCCATCAAAATTCACCTTGCCCCAATTTAGAACTTGAACCTGTGGACTAATTTTGTCATTCTCCATAACTGTTTTAAAATTCATAGAACTATAGTCACTGGTCCCAAAGTGTCACCTCAGTCACCTGTCCTGCCTTATTTCCCAGGAGTAGGTCAAGTTTTGCCCCTTCCCAAGTAGGACCCTCTGTGTACTGCTTGAGGAAACTTTCCTGAAGACAGTTAACAAATTCCACCCCATCTAAGCCCTTGACACTATGGCAGTCCCATTCTATGTTAGGAAAATTAAAATCCCCTACCATGACAACACTATTGCTACTGTTTGGAGGCCTATACATAAACTCCCATTATGGTTTTTTTACCTTTTGAGGTTCCTCAGCTCTACCCACACAGATTCTATACCATCTGACCCTTCTTTGTTTCTTACTATTGATTTAATTTCATTTCTTACTAATAAGGCAACCCCACACCCTCTGCCCACCTGCCTGTCTTTTCTATAAGATGTATATCCTTGGATATTTAGCTCCCAGTCCTGGTCCCCTTGCCTACCATGTCATACCTGCCAATTTCGATCTGTGCCACAAGCTCATTTACTTTATTCCTTACACTGTGTGCATTCAGATATAACACCTCCAGTCCTGTATTAACTGTCCCACTTCTCATTGTCACTCATTTATCCAGTGTGCTTGAAGTTTGCTTCCTAACCCTTTCCAAACATTCTGTCCTATCTTGTGTCTGTGCTGGAGACTTTAATAACCTCTCCTGAGGTCTCCTTTCTTTTCACTTTTTTCATACTTTTCAATGTAGTTGAATCCCACCCCTACGGATGTTAACCTGCTTTGTTTCACATTGACCATTACAATTCTTGGAGTTTTACCCTTCCGCTTCCCCCACCAACTTTCTAGTTTAAAATCGCGTTGACCGCCCTATTTAACCCTTTTTGTTAGAAC